TATAGACTTACTTTTAGCCGTAAGAGTTTGTTGGGTATCAATATGTAAAATAATTATCTCGTGTTGAGTTTGCGGTAGATCGGAGAAGACTGAGTCGTGAATGAAAAGGATAAAACGATGATAACCTTGTTTATAATATTATTGTCTGTATGATACGATGTTTATATAAAAGATCCAAATCTGAAGCGTCCAACAGGTCGACATCTTTCTAGGAATTAATTCCTTTTCTTGTTCCTTTATGTGAATCATTTCGTTAATAATTCTTTTCTGGAAAAAAGATTCTTTTTCTGGCTGGTGACACTGTCCCAATGGAAATTGTGATTAAGCTCGATGATGTGTTTAGTTAATATCGAGTGTCTAGACGGTTCCAATTTGATATTATTTTTGTGCTCTTTTAATCTTGTGTGTAGTCTCCTTTTTGTCCGGTCTACAGACGACGCATTGCAATTTTTGCATGGGATCTTATAGATTACGTTGGTATTTTGTAATTTCGTTGTTCTGTCTTTCTGAGGAGCTATGAATCAATATATTTTACACGCCGCTTTAACATCTAATTACAAAAAATTCCAGATTGTAGATTACTTTGTATTAATCTACTTTTGTTTCTTTTAAATACAAGCGTTAATATGTAAAGTTCCAACAGGGAGATGAAAATTATTTGTTGCACACTTCGAAACTCAATTTCACAACACAACCGACATTCATGCAATTATTGACAATCACTATACGTTATGCTTACTTAGATCGAATATACGTAAATATCTTGCAAAATTGTCAGGCACGCACCAGATAGAATGAAAGACTGTCGGAATGAACTGTACTGCTTCTCTTCAAACACGTTCAATACGATCTTCGGAACACTATACCGCGTTTATAAAGAACCCATGACGCTGTCAGATTTAAAACAACGCTTAGGATTTGATCATGGTGGAAGGAGACTGATAGTTGATTCGCGGGACGGCGTTTTCTCGCGGCGAAATACTTCTCTTGCCCATCAACCAGAACCTTTCGCTAGTCTCCGGTGTTCGATTTTCTTTTCATTTTTACAAGTATCCGGTTATGTGTAGCGTCGATAAATAATGTCAATGTGTTACGTTTACATCAC